GTTTTGTTTTTTGGCAGCTGCAAAACAGTGCTGGCTCATATTTACGTGGTTGTCTGCTAGAAGTCCCAGATTACTCTTGTGGTTACTGCTACTGAGCCAGGTCCCACCTATTCTATACCTAAATTTCATTTTGTTAGATACGGCTCAGTGTTCAAGCCTTCATGATACTTCTGGATCTTGGGCCTATCTTGTAATAGAATAAATTGGTAATTTATTTATCAATACAAGTTGTCTTTCATAAATGGTTCTTCTTTACCTCATTAAAAGTAAAACTGCTAATATTTTAGGAGGGAAATGAAGGGTTGATAGATAATCTGGAAAACATATCTCCCAATTTAAAGCAAAACCTTGTGAATGTTGCAGCTAAGACTCTGCTGAGAAATGGTCCCACTGACTGTGCTCAGTGGCTCTCTAAAGCAGCTGTCACCAACTGATGGTTCGTGGACCACTGGTGGTCTGTGAGAAAAATTTGGTGGTCTGCAGGAAAATTATTTGCATCTTTTATATTGCACTAAATTAGGGATGCTCAAACTATGCCCCCTGGGCTGGATACAATGCAATGAACATTTGTGTTGCTGCAGACTTTCCGCCTTTGGAGTCTTTTTGTGCAGGTTGGAGGGGGGCGGGCAGAAATTCCGACTTGGGGTATGCTTCAGCCTCCTAGTGAGGGGCTTTGGGCGAAGGCTGGAGAGAACTACTGCTGGTGGCGAAGAGCCAGAGGGCTTTATTCCAGTGGGATTGCATCATGGCCTGGATGGAACTGGCTGACCATCTCAGCCCACTGAGCCTCCAGGCACCAATGCATGGCCTTGCATTCCTGCAGGTCTTCCCTCTGCCTGGAAAGCCTATGCTCATAGAACTCAGTGAGGTGCTTCGGCTGAGTCATCTTCTTCGTCAGATCCAATTTGAACTGAGCCAGCTATTTTGCCAACTCTTTCTCATGTTGGCTGCTTAGTTCCAACAATTGCTTCCTGTTGGGGCCCTAAGGAGCCCAGGCAGGCAGGTGAGGAGTGGCTGGGAGGCAGGGGTGCCAACCACCTTGCACCACCTCAGCAGAGGTGGTAGGGACAATTTAAATCGGTTCGGAGAGGTGGTTGGCCCCCTTCTTCCTTTTAGAGACTAAGTCCTGCCAAGCCACACCCAGACTAAGTCCTACCAAGCCATTCCTACCAAGCCATGCCCACAGAGGTGATAGGGAAAAATTTTGAATTTCACTCCTGCTGGGAGGGGAGAGTAGAGGCCGGTGAGGTGCCCCTTGATGTGAGTGATATCAAGTTGTCCACGCCCACCCAGTCACATGACTACCCAGCCGATCATTAGGCAGATCATATTAGTGGTCTGTAGGATTTAAAATTATGAATTTAATGGTCCCTGAGGTCCAGAAGGTTGGTGACCCATGCTCTAAAGATTCTGTGTTGTGAGATGTAGCATTGTTATGGAGAAGTTCTAATTTGTTCCTAAATTAGTCTTCAGTCAGTTACATTTTTTGGAAACCATACTACTAAAACCTAAGTCGATGTTTATTTTGTCCCTTCCGGGGTGGTGGTGGGAGGAAAGATATTTTACCTCTGTCTCTCTCCATTAGTCATCTATAGTCCTTGCAAATGTTCTATTAAGTTTGATTATTCTATCTAATTACCAGCTATTATTGGTAATTTATAACAAACACATAAAAAGGATTATAAATTTTTGCATCTTAAGGTTTTAAAACACAGTAGGCTTTTTTTTTCTAAAGTGTCTGTGCTGCACTGAAAAGGTAACCAAAGACAGCTAAGCAATTCTGCAGAGTGCCAGTAAGAGTTTTCATATGACCCAAGATGTTTTGGAAAATGTGTTCTTTTTCAAGGATACTGTGAAAACAGATACAATACCAAAAAGGGCAGTAGAAATGTCAAACTCTGAAATGATTAAACTCATGGCATGGAGAATAATATAATTGCCATAATGGGAAAAAGAATAATTATTGACAAAAAATAGATGAACATTTTTAAATATGAGCATTCTTTAAACATGCAGCATATGTTTTACTTCTACTGTGAATGAAAATAAAAGCAAAAAAGATTCCAATATAAACAAAATAAGGGACAGAATTGTTTCACATTCTGGAATGTCTGGGAATTGGTATGCTTTGCAAAAAATTGGCTTAAATTATAGCACAGAAAAGTCTGGTTTGGTTTTTTGTTAATGATAAAATAAATAACATAATTATATACATATATAACATAAACTATAAATTTTTAGCCAAGGCCTCTCTAAGCACCTTTAAAAAGCAACAGCGAAAGTCAAAGGAATAATATAAATATACTACCACAGATATACCATACAGAATTACAATACAATTATAATTCATATAAGTTAAATAAAACAGCATTATTTTAAATAAAAATCCACATATGGGACAAAAGTTGTGGAATATGAGAAATAATCTGGTAATCTGTTTCTTTTGTTATGTCCCCTTGATATTGCCTTCAGCTTGTTGACTAACTGAGAATGAGGGGTGTCAAAATTTAAGTTGTCCTTTCTGCTTTTAAATAGTATTTTTCCCTTTTAATCTACACAATCTTTATGTCGTTGCCATGATTGATCAATATTCCTGCAGATATTGTATTGATGTTCAGAGCAAGGAGGGAAACACAGACAGTGAAATCAACCAATAGCTTTACTTAAGCAGACTTGCAAACTATAATACAGGGCGTTACCATTCATCAACAAGCTAGAAGGAGGCAATTGAAATAAGACACCAATAGGGACAATCTAATTGATTGTCTAATTACGTGCTATCAAGTTGTGGTTAACTACATAGACCACACAAATTTTCTCAGTGACAATCTATCCCTAATGTGGTATTTCAGGTCTTCCAATGGTGTATCCTTTGCTGCTGTAACTATCTAGTCTAACCACCTTGTTGGTGGTTGTCCTCCTCTTTATTCCTCCCCAGCATTAGAGACTTCTCCAGAGAGCTCATCTTCTATTTTGCTTCTCCAAAGCCCAAGATTTGCTTCCAAATTCCATACAATTTGTACAGTTTTGATCTTTTGATATAGATATATGTTCCTTCTTGCTTGAAACGCTCTATTATCATCTCAGTGCCAAAGAAGCCCTCAATCGGAACTAAATGATTGCAGAGCAGTTGCTCTAACATCTGTAGTTATGAAAACCTTTGAAAGGCTAGTGCTGTTCCACCTGAAAACCATCATGGATCTGCTGTTGGATCCCATGCAGTTTGCATACCCAGCATAGATCAACAGATGATGCTGTTAATGTGGCTCTGCACTACATCCTACAACACCTTGAATCTCCAAATACCTAGCAAGGGTCCTCTTTGTAGTCTTCAGTTCAGCATTCAATACCATTATTCCAGACATTCTTCTAACTAAACTAAACCAGCTAGCAGTACCTGAACACATTTGTAAGTAGATCATAAGCTACCTAACAGACAGGAAGCAATCTCTAAGCTTGATTGTTGTAATTAGTTCAGTCTTCTTAACTTTGGTTCCATTTGGGGGGGGGGTCTTTTATTATTAGACTCTTGACTTTTATTACTAGATCTTGCAAATCATTTTCATTTTGGCCATTAGTGTCAGCACAGCATCCTTACTTATGCTAGCATAGTATTCTGATAACTTGATGTGTGGAGTGCACATCAACCACAGGGTGAAAACTCCCTTAGTCAATGTTCATCTAATTCTAAGTGTGCATTTGTAATATTCTGCAATAATGAGTAATGCATTAATGTGTGTGATCTGTCTGATTATACAAATTATATTAAGCAGTAATGTGAATTTTGTATTTATTTATTGGAAGCCATGCCATGGTTACCATCCATAAAACCAAGATGAAACAAGTAGATAATATAATTATAGTTTCTTATTTAGATAAATTAATGTTAAAATTACACATTTATTTATAAATATAATTTATAAATGGCACATAATCAATCAATACTAAAGTTAAAGCATACAATGATAAACATGTGACGTTGACAGACAGGCACTATAGACCACAGGCATAACTAAACTGAGAATACTAAGTCTGAAATGTGAAGAGAAAAATGGCCTGGACTGAAAGTTGATAGAGGGTGTGTTTAAAGCTAGGTGCCCCAATAAAGGAAATTCCCATGGTCTGGGATGCTGAAGGAGCCCCTTTGCAGATTTTAATATTAAATCTGTTTTGGAAGAACTCCCTCTTGCATTTGAGTTTTGGCTTAGTTTGTTGCACAGACACAGCCATTATGACTTATTCAACAAACAAACATGGATAAAAGAAAACTTAATCCTATGAATGAGCCTGCCATATTTCCTGTTTTGCCTTTTTTAAAAACTTCAAATAAACTATCTAATAAAAACTAATAATCTTACTTATCGGGCTTAGAGTGGTTTTGGTTTATCAGTAAAAAACTTTTCCATGTAATACACTTAATGATTTACAATAACAATGAATGCAGTTTTTGCATGGTCTTGGTCTGTTCCCTTAACCAGCATGTAAACATTTTTCTTCTATTTGTTAATAAACTCCACATCAAAGGGGTCTTAATTTGCGGAACATATAGTTTGGACTGTAATGCGCTCAGCATTACTACTCTAGGGTTAAAGAAAGTTGTAAGTTACTTCAAAGCATGTGATGGGCAAAAATAATGAGTTAATTGTTGGGAACACCTGAGATCATTCATACCTCCCTATAATTAACTGAAGAATAAAGCTACGTGGTTTAACGTACGTAGAGTGCTCTGTGCGATCACTCGCAGAAACAGCTGAAAAACCCAACAGCGCAACGTCGTTTGAATTGGAAAGGCGACCCATTATCGCCTGGACACAACGAGGGTTGAGTGCCAAATACTGCTTTCCAGGTAAGAAACAAACCAACCTTTCTGAGCCAAACATGACACTACTTTACTCCAATTAGTAAGTCTATGGATCTGTGCGACAACGGAGGCGTCGCTTTGCGGAAGAGGGCAGCGTCGAGGAGGAGGAGGAGAGCGAGTACGATGCCGTGTGTGACGCATGCGTGCTCAGGAAGGGGGTTCTGCGTTTTCTGTAGGTCACCTGTGTACGATGTCTAAGGAGTGAGTGTCGAAGAAGGGGTTTAAAGGGAAATGGGAGGGGGTAACGAGGATCATGCCTGTGGAGTAAGCACTTCGGGTGCATTAGTACTTATGACGTCATGCAAAGTCCCTCACTCCGAAGTGGGACGAGGGTCAGAAAAGGGTATATAGACGTATCTAAAAACCAGTACATGGGAGGACGAGAGAGGGAGTGATGTACTGAGGTCATCGCATGACAGCCGCAGGTCTTTGGATGCGGGCGGGGCATGGCAAAAGGTTGCTTTGAGCAGCCTTGAGCATGCTGGCTGGACTTAGTTCTTGCATTTGCCTTGCCTTTCGTCTAGTTAAAGCTGAAACGTGGAAACGTCTTCCCCCATTTTGTTCAGCTGTTCCCAGAGCGATAAAAAATACCTGTATTAGCCAAATGTAAAGGCCTTTGCTTGATATCTCAGGAATTTGACTGGTTAAATGAGAAAGGATAAAAGATACTCATTTTGCTTCTTAAGCCAAAAGTTGTAAGTGGCTGCACAACAAATTCTGGGTTTGCTACATGCTGGCTGAGGCATTTTCCCTGCATGCTCTAGACCAGAGATTCAGCATCTTTGCTTGTCCTTCATTCCTTTAATGAGGAAAGAAAAGGAACACTTGTGGTCTTAATCACAACACTTGAGAGGGGTGTAACTTGGGTTTCTAGGAGGTTGCGGTGAAGTTGATGGTTTAGTTTATTATGTTTTGCAGTGCTGTTTACATGATAACACAGAAATACTTTGGTAAGTAATGAATAGGTCAGTCAAGCAATATTTGTGCTATATAAAAGTGAGTAAAGCCTGACTTTTAACTGAAAGGAACCTAGCCAAACACTTTGAATAATTTGTTAAAGAAAGCTATAAAGCGAGGAGAGCAAAGGATGCTGGACATATCCCTCCCATGGGGCATGTCCCTAATCATTTGGAGGGTTAATGCTAAATGAAATGACAACATGAGTCTCATCATCAATGTGTTGTAAAAGCGGACCAATTCAGTCTGCTACTGTGAGCAATGCATAACTGACCCCCAAAATTCTTTTACTAAATAAAATAATTAAGTGAGGTTTTTTTTCTTGTTACAGTTAACTGAATCATTGTAGTCCAGTTAGCAGCACAGTTAAATGAATCTGGTTTCCCATTGATTTTGCTTGTCAGAAGGTCACAAAAGGGGGTTGGACTAGATGACCTACAAGGTCCCTTCCAACTCTGATTATCTCATCCGTTAAAAGGTGATCACATGACCCCAGGACACTGCAATCATCATAAATATGAACTGGTTGCCACACATCTGAATTTTGATCACAGGGAGGCTACAATTTCATAAATATGAAAAAAAAGGTTGTAAGTCACTTTTTTCAGTGCTTTTGTAAGTTTGACTAGCCACTAAACAGATGGTTATCTTCTGTATAGCATCTACCTGAACAGCATCTCAAGACTGTTAGATTACATTTTTAAAGGAAAAAAATAGTAATGTAAACAAAAGCTTCAAAGTAATTGCAATATTGGTGAAGTGATAAAAAGCCAAGGATAATAATAGAAAATAATAGGCAATGGGTCAAGAATCTTGAAACTCTATCATAGCTATTTTTTCCATTTTTTTATGGGAACTCTTAAGTAAACTTGACAAACTTTGAATAAAGTTATAATTTTCCAGTTAGTACTGTTCAAAGATTTTCAAATATGTTTGTTTTTTTCTCTTTAGGAAAGCAGAGATTCCAGGCCCACCCACATCTAAATGCATTCTGTATTGGAAAAGAAAAGTCAAGTCAGAATACATGCGTCTTCGGCAACTCAAAAGACTTCAGGCAAACATAGGAGCTAAGGTAAAGATACGCTTTACCTTAAGATTTTTTTTTTTCCATAGGCTTTACTTCTGCACATTGGGATGAACAAAGCGATGGAAAGAAATGTCTGTCTTGCAGTTGACTTTCTCTCAGAAAGATGAGAAGTTTAAATTACATGTAATATATAGATAGACACACGAACAGATATAAATATAGATTAGATAGAGATAGATAGACAGACAGATATTCTCTATTCAGCAAATCTAAAGTCTATATCCATGGAGTTCTGGAAACTCCCTGCAAACTGTATAAACAGCACACTGCCTACCACTTTACGGATAGCCATTGGTGCCCATGTGGAAACTTTCTGTTGCTCTTTCTCATCCCCCACTATTCTTCTCACTACTATTGATCTGCTATAGATCCATCCTGCCTCCTGAGAAGTATCCAAACAGTGTCTACACATCACTCTCTTCCCCCCCCCCGCCCCCCCCCCAATTCGGAGGATTTCTGCAGGAGAAATATGCAACAACATCTTCCGTCTGTTTCTGAGGGAGAAAGGGGGAAACTTTATTTGGGGATACTAGAATTCCCCTCACCCCCTATGTGTCATCAGAGTAGTGGGCAGTGGTGTTTCCAGCACAGATATGAGGCAAATCCCACTGGCCTAACAGAAGTGAGCCACTGACTAAATATGTATAGAACCTTCTTTGAAGTCATCAAAACACTTCAAGGTTATATGATCCAATTATTGGGGAATGAAGGGGTGTGTTAGTAGTAATGAAAGTGTGGTAAAGTTTAATGTCTCTATGGTGCCCCAAAGCACACCCACCCAAAATGAGGTTACAAAAGTTCAGTTCCTGATAATGTGATAATTCCTGTGCCTGTTAAAAATATAGGCAGCCTCTGACAGAAAAAGGTTGACTCTGATTAAAAATAGAACATCAAAAAACTAAATGTAAAATATCTAGAATATCTATTCCTAGACCAAGCCAAATCCAAAAATGCTAGAGAATTCCTGAAAGCCTGGTACTCAGACAAATCAGCCATCAGTAGGCATGTAGAAATAAACAACATCTACATACCATTCAAGAGAGATAATGAAAAAGCCAAAAAAGAAAACAAAAAGACTAAAACACCTTTTTACCAGCAATCAACACCCAAATGAACACAGATTAATACAAAGACCAACTTTAACTAACTTTAGACCAACAATCATAAAAGAAACTGTTGGGCTCGGCAATCCAACCAGTTTCCAGAGGAGCCCGACAAACAATATGACATTCCTCCCCATGTCAGGCCGACAGAAACAATATACTAATCAAGGAACTATCAACTGAAACAAACAAGCTAACAGTAAAACACCAAGGAACCTGATACACCACTCCCAGCAATACTGACAGAGCAAGCCACTAGAATATAAAATGGGAGCAAACCCCATTCCCTTATATCACTGATGATATTACCTAGTTTGGTAATGGAATTTCTGCAAAAAACAACCAAGAATCCACAAAGAACCACGTATCTCTGAGGAAAAAGTAAAATCCACTTCATGTTTATGGGTACAAAATGACTTATCAAGTCAACATATTTGATGCTATTGTGAGAGAGGCAGGAGGTAGACTATTGGCATGATTGTGTATTTTGATATGAAAAGGATTGATTTTGATTGTATCGCAGAGAAATGGTATAATTGCAATCTGCCTACCTAGGTAACATAGTTGATAGCCAGTAATACAGGTTTAAAAATGGTTTCCTTTTGCTGGGTTCCTGTGAATTGGAATCCCTCTTCCATGATGACAAAAGGTTGATCTGTTTTTTTTTCTCTTTCCTCTATTCCTGTAGAATTTATTTGTGTCTAACTTCACAAAGATTCAGGAAAAGATAAACATCCTAAACGATGACTGGAAGAAGCTTAGAGTTCAGCCAATTCAGTCAATGAAGCTGGTGGGAGGAAACCCTTTTCTGAAACAGGTGTTGCAGCATATAATGTACTATATTTCCTTTCCTAAGTTCATATTCACACTCCCACACTATAATATCCCTATTTTCCATGTCATTATGAAGTTCCGCATTTACCCAGAGAGAAAGTTTAAATCAGTTATGTAAAGTCACCAGTATGAATAGAAGTTTTTTTTTTTTCAGAATAATAAAAACCATTCAGGATTGTCCAGCAAACAGCAACAGGAAAGGATGACATTCCATGTGCAAAATTAGTACTTTTACTTCCTACCAGTTGCTGCAAGATCCTCTATAGTAGTCCTTTTGTGCTTTTGATTTCCTGATTCTTGTTATTTTTTTTAGTCCTTCTGTTTCCTAAGCCCTACAGTTGATTGATGTGTGTCCTTTGGGAACAGAAGATAAATGGGCTCATGGATTGGGATGGGTTTAATTAATATATATTTTTCCCAGAATTGTAACCAGTGGGCATACTTGGAACTTTGTAAGTCATACAATTTAATGCCTCTGATCATGTTGAAAATGCCTGTTTGCCAACTGATAATAATTGGTTCTTTCAACTCTATGTTTAGGGATAAGGGCTTGCAAGTTAGAAGGTATGCCAACAAGCAGGCTAAATTCAGTATTTAATTTGTTATCAGTATACGATACTTAATAAAATCACCAGCCAATAAGACAAATCAGGGGCATGTTTATAAAAGATATGTTTACCCAAAATGTCCTTAATCTGCTGCTTAAAAACCTATGAGAAAGATCCACCTGGGACAAGGAGGTAAAAGAAACAAGACAGGATGAGGTGAAGTATCAGCAAATTATGGAAGAACGTGGACTAGGGTCTCCTAAAATGGCTGCAACATGTTGCTAGATTTATGTAGGAAGAAATCATCTTTAAGTTGTTTTGGTAATAAACCATTCTGATTTTCATTGGTGTGTTACAGTGGGCCTAGAAAATAATATGATTGTTAACTTGATACGATGATGGCTCTATATATCAAATTAGAGTTACTATCATCTTCTTCCCTCTGGATGTAGTGGGTCATGATGCCCTCTAGTGGAAGCAAGAGAGAAAACATAGAAGATTCCCATCTGATATGAGGCACATCGTATCTGTCTCCTTTAGAATGGATGGAATGGATTCAGCGCAGAGGGGCTTTAGAGGGGTGACCTGTATATTACTCCTTCTGATGGGGCACGCTTTTGTTCTCCTCCAGTGCACAGTTGAGAGCATCTTTCCCACTTTGAGCACCCAGACTTTGTTCATGCGGACTCTAAACACTGTAGCCCTGGTGCCTATCATGTATTCCTGGTCTCCACTCCAACAAAACTTCATGGTAGGTAATCTGCTGCCGTAATTCTGAGCTTGAACATGAATATTTTCTTTTGAATCCAGAACATCTTTTAAGGCCTGGTTGGAAGACAGCAGGGTTTCTTCGTGGAGTACTACCCAGAGCAAGAAAAGCATCTTCTACTTTTCGTTTTGAACCTGAAGTACATGGTATTTTTACTAAGGTTTCCACACTTGTTTGTAATTGTCTGTTGGGGTGGAGGTAGCACACTTATTCACCTAATCACAGAAGTGAAATTTCTTGCTTATCTACATTGTCTCCAGTGTCTAAAACATCTGGATTCCAGGTGGCATTTAGAAGCCATGTCTTGCACAGGACATCAAGGACGTTCCCGTTTGATTCTGCAAAATGAGTGTGTCCTATAAACAATCTGCCTTTTTCTATTGAGTCTTTTTCATCCCTAATCCCAGCTTCTGGAAGTTCAGAGCTAGGGAAACGCTCACAATATCAGAACTGATATTCTAATATTTCTGTTGAGGATCTTCTCCGTCCCTTCTCAGAAATTTCTTACCACTAACGAAGCCTGGGGGTTGGTGGGCAGTGGTGGGTTCTTCAGAAGAGTGCATTTCAGTGATGGTGCTTCCCATTTTGTTTTAACTTGCTGTTATTTTACAAGTACCTGAAATTATTAGATTAATAATTGCTCACAATTTGAATGCCTTGCTGCTGGGTCACCCTCAGTCACTCTCAAAGGGCACAATATTTGGACAAAGCAATTCATGGGACATTTGTTTCACCTTGGAAGCGTCTCATCTATTGGATTCCATCAATACTTTTACCAATGGCTTCCCTGAGTTGGAGCGAAAAGGCACTTCTTGCATGCTGCACTTTCTCTTTAACAATTTTGGGCTAGAAATAAGGAATTGTCCTTAACTTGGTGAACTGGTGTTTGTGTGTTCATTGTGTGGGTCGTGCTGTCATACTGTATGGTTTTAGCTCCCTCCCTGCATAAGCTATCTAATGCAAGATGTGGGGGGGTGGACCATTCTGAACGCCCTTCTACAGTAAGCTGGGATAAAGCCAGAGTTTTTCTGTTGGAAATAAGCAAGATAAAATTATGTGAGTCACTGTTGCTACCAGAACCTTCTCTAAAGACCACTGATTGAATGGCATGACCTTGCCCTCAAGAGTAAGTGCTCATGATGAAAGACCTTGTGAGGCTGGGGCATACTGCGTCAGCCTCCCCTAATCTAGTTCCCTCCCAGATATGTGGGACTACAGCTCCGCTCCTCCTCCAGTCAGCATAAGGATTGCTGCCTAGGAGAAATCTTCACTTTGCAGTCAGATCAGCAGATTTCCCTCTGGCTTCTCATTAAGGTGGGCATGCAATCTGCCATTTGCAGGCTCTTCTGGTGAGTGGACAAGGGACAGCCACCTGCCTCCCTCAGGGTGTGTCTGCCCCCGTTTGCAGGTGGAGGACGAAACTGTTTTGTGCAATATCCCTTACATGGGAGATGAAGTAAAAGAAGAGGACGAAACCTTCATTGAAGAGCTCATTAATAACTACGAAGGCAAAGTTCACGGAGAAGAAGGTAACACCTACTCAGTCTTCCACTGGGATTGAAGGGCCCCAGATCATGTAGAGGGAGGGGGAGAATTGGAGGGGGAGAATTCTGTTCTTACAAGTCAGATTTGTCTTCCTAGGCACACAGTGTTGTTGTTCATGAGGTTGAATTTTTTTTCCTCCCCGTGTCTTAACTTTCAGTTCTTCCTTCCAGAGTTGCTCCCAGGTTCCATTCTGATCAGTGATGCTGTTTTTCTGGAGTTGGTAGATGCACTAAACCAATATTCTGAGGAAGAAGACGAAGGACACGATACTGTAGAAGGCAAACAAGAAGCTTTGAAGGAAGACCTGCCTGTCACACGGAAGAGGAAACGGCTCACAATGGAAAGTAAGTTTCCTTCTTCCTATCCACCATTTCCTTTCCTATTGGAGCCCACATTCATACTTTGTAAGTCTTGCTGCTACGTGTTTCTTCCATGTAGTATCTAGTCCTAGGCAGTATGAATTGGCAAGAAGGGGGCTATGGATTCAATTCTTGGGTTATGTTCTTCTCCAGCAGATTTTAATGGAAACATGTTTCAGCTGGATCCTTCATAGCTCTTCCATTACTCCACCCCCAAAATTATTAAATGAAATGAAGTAATAAAATAACTACAGGTTAATTTTAAGGGCCCCCTAAAAGTACAACACAACACAATTTCTTTGTGATGTTGCAGAAGCCCCATAAGTATATTCTTGTATTTTGCTGGGGAAATTCTAATGACTGCATAACAATATGTACTGAGAGAAAAAGGCACCTGTTGGCATTTTCTTCAAAATAGTTTTTCTGTGTTTTACAGCATAGTTTATTGTTTGATATTTATCTGGTGTGATTTCTTCCTAATTATCTTCTGAATCAATCCTATCTTGGAAGGGCAGTGTTCCAGGGAGGAATATTTTAATTCATAAAATATCAGCAGGCTTTCTTGCATGTCTAATGTAGGTAACAAGAAAAGTTCACAGAAGCAATTTCCAAATGACATGATCTTTACAGCTCTTTCATCAATGTTTCCTGAGAATGGCTATCCAGAAGACATGAAAGAAAGGTAGGAATTATCTAATTCAAGCCAAGTATCATTCTGCTTTTCTGGTCTGGGCCTACAGTAGTCTTAATTTCCTAGATGGATATCAGAAATACTGAAAAAAAAAGGTCTGAGCAGGATCAGATATGGTTAAAACAGAAGACAACTAGGAAGTTTCGGGACAGTAATGTAGTTTGAGAAGTTAAAAACACCTTAGAAGGAGGCAAAAACAAACTATACTCTTAACGTTGCCAAAAAATTATTTGGAGATGTTTTAATATAGTCTAATATAATAATATTATAATCTAATATATTTCTAGTAATGTTACTAATTTCTGGGCAAGACCTATTTAATTTGTACATGTCTTAATCTTGTGTCTATTTTAAATGTTATGTCATATAGTATGCCTTATTTTATTCACCATGCTTCTGTTACAAATAGACAAACAAACTTGCAGTCCAACTGAAGTTTTACATCAAGAGCGCTTTCTTTGTACAGCTAAACAATTTATGCATTTTGTTTAGCAGAAGCATTGCCCGATGTATAGCTTGCAACCTAATTACTATGGGAAAATGATCTGTGATGTTAGTAAGGCTGATGTTCTTGCTTTTGTCTCCCCCTGCTGTCTGCTTTGGATTATTTCACATTATCTTCTCAAGCATTCTAACCATGCTGGTTGTCATATGCAGACGTTTGCACCTGGTCTTCCTAATACACAATTCCAGTTCATATTTTGCTATGTCAGTTAGCGTTTTGCAGACCCAAAGGTGCTTCCTACCTCAAAGTGTTCAGTTTTATTTGAGGTAGTTTTATTACTTGAACGGTATATTAACTAACATCTGCCAGTGGCCTTCAGACTATGAAATGATAACTCATTCTCTCTAAAGTAACAATTTTAAGTACATAAGTACAGACTGTCAGAGTAGCTACAGTCAGTCTTTCCATTGTTTGGAGTGACTTTGGAAGGCTCTATATGACCTTAAATGACTTTTCCCCACCTCATTTCTTAAGATACAGGGAGCTGACAGAAGAATCCGAGATGAATGTGCTCCCTCCCCAGTGCACACCAAATATTGATGGGCCAAAGGCCAAATCTGTTCAGCGTGAGCAAGCTCTGCATTCCTTTCACACACTATTTTGCAGGCGCTGTTTCAAGTATGACTGTTTCCTCCATCGTAAGTTCCTGATATAATCTCTAACTTCTTTCCTGCTTATTCTGTTCCAGTGTACAACATTTTCACGGGAAATGTTAGCATATTATCTCCCTGCCTTTTGTATAGATGCGCGCATAGCAAGGTTAATTCCACTTTTCAAAGTTATCCTAGAATGTCCACCTCCATTTGTCTTCGCCACTTCATTTCAAAAAAATCTTACCTACCCTCCTATCTGTCACATTCAAGTACCCGGAATGGCTTAGAACCACCTGTATACAGTCACATCTATCATGATTTAAATTATATTCAGTTACAATATTAAAGTCCCATAGATATTCCAATAAAAATCCAGGTGGGTTAGCTATTGGAAATACCTATACTTGCCTGAAACAGCCAGATTTAAGTTTGGTTTGCTAGGTAGTAATAATATATTAATTAGCATTACGAGGCAGGCGTATAAGTAGTTCTCCAGTTTTTGCTATTTCTTCATTTCCACTCTGAAAATTTTCCCTTCCCTGCTGCCCCCACCCCACCCCGCCCCCCCCTTGCCTCCCACCCTAACTCCACCCAGTTCTGTATATCTGCAAGTTTGATGCTCTGTTGAATTTAAAATAGGGTGAATGTTTGGGTACAAATTCTTACAAAATTAAACTAGTAGTAATTACTGCCTTCCTGAGGTTTGAGATTTTGGGGTTTCGGTTTTTTTTGTTTTGTTGTTTTAGAAAAGGGACATTTTTCTAGGTTCTTATTCTAACCCAAACAAGATGCTTATTCTTTTTTTAGCTTTTCATGCAACTCCAAATGTTTATAAGCGGAAAAATGTGGAGACCAAAATTGAGACGGAACCTTGTGGATCAGACTGCTTTTTGTGGCTGGTATGTTGGATGGGGGACTGCTGGGAGTGCAAAACCAATGTTATAGCCATTCATTTAAAATATAGTTTAAGAATGATTATACATGCCCCATTTATTATTGTCATTAAATGTTGTACGTTCTCAAGGAAATGGTAATATCCTGTTTATCTACATCTAAAGCATTTTCAACTGATCTGATTGTGTAAGCTCCAACCCATTAAAACTTATGCTCTAATAATAAATTAATGAATATATTAAAGGGGCTGATAGACCCCTTTTTGTTTTTAATCTAATATGACTGGCCTTCATTGCTAAAAGGACAGCAAAATTAAACTGCTTTTCCTTGGGCTTTAGTTCTGGACTGCAAAAATTCAGATGACCAGCAGGTGGCAACACAAAATTAATTTTCAGCATTATCTTGTCAATTGTGGTCCAGACTTTTGCAATCTGGATCTAGGAAACCCTAAATTTCTACACACACACACACACACTCCCATAAAAGAAACTAAAACGACATTTAGTCAAAAAAAATATTGGAATTATGACATTGTAGGAAGGAAGGATATCTTAGTTTTCATACCATTCCCCCATCCTTATAGTACATTTTTCACAGCATGATTCTCACCTCAATATAAAACACATATTTTGTTTCAAAAAAGAATCTGCATCTTCAAGATGGTTCAAAATGACCATTTTCCTATACTAGCAGATTATAATAAAAACACTATTTCTCAGAAACCTTCAGTTTCCCATGTATTCAATTTTGCATACAATCCATACATTATAATCTGTACTCTCTTTTGAAAACTGTTTCATATTGCCTAATGATGAAACAAAATTTTGTATATTTTGATTTCTGTATTTAGGGCAAATTGTAGTTTCTATACAATATTGTTCCTAAATGGGTGTCTAAAATTCAGGAAAAAGTACTTTATGTCCTCCCTGGTTAGTTGTAATACCTGGACGTGGCTGTATTTTTTTAATCTGAGCTTGCTTTTTAGGAGGGAGCCAAAGAGTTTGCCATGATGCATAATCCTCGGTCAAAATATGCTGGACGGCGCCGGCGTAGGACCCCCAATCCCAGTGCCTCCGCCTCCTCCAGTGCTGCAGCTTCTACAAGCGCTGAAGCAAAAGAAGGTGATAGTGATAGAGATACTGGCAATGACTGGGCATCCAGTTCCTCAGGTGGGTGAGATTCCCCTGTTCATGAATTACAGAGAATAGGGATGGAGAAATTGCAGGAATTATCCCCTTAGAAAGAGATGTGCTCCAGCAGGCTCAAGTGCCAAGAAGAATAATTTCTTCTGTGGAATCTGTCCAGATTTAATTTATGCCAGGGCTTGCTGGCAGTCTATTTTAGTGCCAAGCGTAAGCTTTCAGTCACTGTGTTGAAACACATGCAGAATGTCTTTCTGTCATCACAAACAGTCCTTGCCCAACTGAGATTAGTAATCCTGTGGCAAATGATGTCACTTGGCTGATAAACGCATTTTTGAGATGTGTTTAAGAAAACAATATTGTTGTCTTGTTTTGGGGTTGCTTTTTGGGTACACGCATGCTTTCCACACCTAATCATTTCTTTTGTTGCTCCAGAGGCCAATTCACGTTGCCAAACACCAACCAAGCCGAAGATGAGTCCATCCTCTTCTCAGCCTTTCATGTCTGATGTGCCTCTGGAGCCTGTGGAGTGGACAGGGGCAGAGGAGACCCTCTTCCGTGTTTTCCATGGAACCTACTTCAATAACTTCTGCTCCATTGCTCGGCTTTTGGGGACCAAGACATGCAAGCAGGTAGGAGCCTTGGTAGGCCCAGAAGGGACATGAGCATCTGGTTCCCTCCCTTGGAATTTCCCTCTTCAACAAGTTGCACTTCTTGCTTGGCAGGTCTTTCAATTTGCTGTGAAGGAATCCCTGATAACAAAGCTACCAGTTAATGAGCTCCTGAACCCCTCCCAGAAGAAGAAGAGGAAGCACAGGTACATGTGTTCAGGGGAATCTAGCCAACACGAAGCCATGCTAGGGATGGTTCTTGGTTTTTGGGGAAGGCTTGGTGACTGGGGTTGCCAAAACACTGGCATGGTCTTATGGACCCCTTCACCACCCACCCTCCCTTCTGAAAAAGATTTGAAATGCTTAACAGTACCCTACTCAACATTCTTAATTTTCTTGTGTTGGAAAAGCTCCCGCCTCTCACCAGCTATTCCTTCGTCTATAAGTTCCGTTGTTGTTTTTATCTGAGAGATCTAGAAAGGAGGCTAAGGAGAGTTAGAGAGAATGCATATTTTAGAAATCCAGAGTTTTTCTGTCTCCAAGACTAATATTCTTTTCTCTCTTCCCCTTACCCAAACAAAGGCTCTGGGCTGCTCACTGCAGGAAGATCCAGCTTAAGAAAGGTAAGGTGTTTCCTGCCTGGTTCTTCCTATTCCCATCTCCTTCTGGGAAAACAGAACAGAATATAGAAGGTTTGTCTCAGGCCAGACTAGGCCAAGAAACCCCAACACTCCCTTTGTCTCTAAATTTTTCTCCAGAATATTCCCGTCAGTTGACAAGACACGGTTTCCTTATTAGTTCTGATATCTGTAATTAAGTGGAGAGGTATTCTGTTACTAAGTAGCAGAATTCAAAATCCTAAATGGTGAAATCCTTATTGCTGACATCTGGTATTTTGAAAAATAGCTTGAATAATTCATGCCAGCACCGTTTTCTTGTCATATCACAGCATTTACTAGACTGGTAAACTTGAAGTGGCCTTCTGCGCTAGAAACACTGTCTTGCACTGTTTTGGGATTATGATACATGCAGCATTCACGCTTCCAAGGCCCAACTTATAGATGTTCCTTCTTCCTGCAGACAATTCATCAACTCAAGTGTTCAACTACCAACCCTGTGATCATCCAGACCATCCTTGTGACAGCTCCTGTCCTTGCATTATGACTCAGAACTTCTGTGAGAAATTCTGCCAGTGCAATCCTGATTGTAAGAAAGGAAGCTCTCCACCAAGCTGCCAAATAATGGCTAAGATTTCTAGCATTATTTTTTGTTGTTGTAGTGGTGGTGGTATCCCTTTAAACGTGTGTGTTTCCTTTGCAAGGCCAGAACCGTTTCCCTGGCTGCCGATGCAAGACTCAGTGCAACACCAAGCAATGCCCCTGCTATCTGGCTGTGCGGGAATGTGATCCAGACCTCTGCCTGACCTGTGGGGCATCAGAGCATTGGGACTCCAAGGTGGTTTCCTGCAAGAACTGCAGCATCCAACGGGGCCTCAAGAAGGTACATTTCAGTCCTAAAACGGGAGGGCAAGAGATCAGAATTATGGCATGGGAATGTGTCAGCTGGGAATGGCATAGAACTGATATAGCTTAGTGTTTTATTTTGCTTCTGCTAGCTAATGTGAGAATCTGTAGGAAGGACTCAGACCCAGTTAGTTCTTGGTGAGTAGTGTGTTGCTTGTACCCTTACCATTCTCTGAGGTTTCAGCTATCTTTGCCAACCTCCATAACTATGAGGACTGTTTTTTCTTTAACTGGACCCTCCATGTATTGGAATAGAAGATAAAGTTGGCTATAATATACCTTTATTTGAAGGTTTTTGAAGATGGCCTTCAAAAATTCTGCAGATAAAGAATATCTTGCTATGGCTGATGGCCTAGAATATGGTATCCATTTGTTTGTCTCTTTTTCTCTCCCCATCTTGTAGTGTTCTAGGTGTGTTCACTTGATCTACTTCATAAAATATGCTTCTGTCTCTTTTCTTCATAGCACTTGCTGCTGGCCCCATCTGATGTTGCTGGATGGGGAACTTTCATTAAGGAGTCTGTGCAGAAGAACGAATTTATCTCTGAGTACTGCGGAGAGGTGAGTTGGAAAAGTAAAACAAGACTTAAGATCCTGAAACCTCTCTGCTGCAGTCTTTGCTCTCAGCCATGGTTATCAAGATGAATGAGAGGGCAGGTTATTGGTTCATCTCCTGAACCAGTAACTCCATTTAAATTTTGGCCTTTGCCAGCATTCAATGAAGCTGGTACAGGTAATCCTGGACAGGTTGTTTAGTTATGGATGGACCCCAAAAATGGAACTTACAACCCAGATTTGAAGTTCCAATGTCCATTCCCCCATATGGCTGCATTTTGGTCACTTGGCAACTGGCCATTTGCTGCACTCTATAGTCACCTGCCTGCAATTTATGGTGGTTTTGTTGGAAACAGGCGTTTACTTCCATTTTCCAGCAAAACAAAAACAAAAAACCCACACATTTAATGGTGTTCACTTTACCACCGGGTTCACTTGACACTGCCACAAAAATATTATAAAATTGGGCACATTCACACGACCACCCATTTTAATACCATTGCAACTTACAATCAAAATTGTGGTCTCAGTTATGTCATAAAGTGAGGACAACCTGCAGGTGAAAGTGGTTTATTAATATAGGCTTATCAGTCAACATTTAGTTAGATGATAGAACTTGAAGCTAAAAAGTAGGCAAGCTGTCATTTCTGGTGAACAGTAGGCTGATATTCTTGGTCAGGCTATGATGTTGGGGAAACTAGACAGATTTTGATTAATTCCAGGTGGAGTATTTGTACCATTTCCAAAACCGCTCCACCTTCTTAACTCATAATCAGATTTTACAGCAACACCACAAAATAGCAATAATGAAAAATCAAATCAGAGGTGAGAAAAAGGGCAAGGAAAGGGAAGGCTTTTTCGGGCTCAATTTATGGGTATCATAATAATGTTTAAGTTTGCTATGTAGCTGGCCAGCATCAGCTATAATGTAAAATATATAGGTAGTGTAAATCCTTTCGCCGCCATTTACTTCTTATTTTATAAAATGATACATTTGTTAGCAAATAGAATTCATGTAAGCTATTTATGCTGCCCTGGAAGAAAATTCCTCCTAAAGCTGTTTTGTCTGCAAAATTTAGATCTCTTTCCAGGAAGAAATTATTGCATTCATTAATTCCTGTTCAGAATTTAGCAATACTAGGGCAGTCCCACATTCATTTATCATTGCATTACCAGAAATTAGAGCCATGTAGCGTATTTTCTTTTGTCAACTATAAATGGTTTATTAACAATGTAAATGAAACCAATGTGCTTCATTAAAAACAATTTCCGCTTATGTTAATTACAACATTTTAAACTTAGAGCTAAAGTTTTTACCAAAAAGCATACAACCTTGTTTTTGGTTGAGAAGATGGTGGTGATGATTTATTAAATTTATATGCTACCCAATTTTCAGTAACTCTAATTTTCCCACTTTGTTTCATTTTACATATTGACATGTCCCAAATTTAACTCTGGCTGTATGTCAATAGTAGAAATGAACAGTTTAAGGAGTACTGATTCTCCAGTATTGGTTATATAAGAGAAGAACTAAGGATAGAATGACCAAATATATTTATATATATTTCATTGTTAAGTATTGCCAGTATTGAGAATATATCAAGTAATCCATATATTTTGTATTTATAAAAAACAAAAAATTCCTTACCTTTAATTGATCTGAAATGTTAATTTGATAACCTGTCAGTTTTTTACTTGCCAAAATATGTAGCTAGCAAATAAATCCAATTTTTTAATTTACTGCCCCCATGTTTATTGTTGCAAAGTGGAAGAAAAGTTCTGTTTAGGTGTTCTTTTTATCCCTGATCTCACTATTGTTCCAAGGAAGATAGCCTGTCTGCTTTGTGAGCACTATTTTCAGATCTTCCAATTCTTTGGGAGAAACTAGGCCTTCTAAATTTTGTTAACATCTGACTTGGTCACCTTACAGCAACTAACAAATTCTTATCCATTGTGTTCCTTTTTCCCAGCTTATTTCTCAAGATGAGGCTGACCGACGTGGTAAGGTCTATGACAAGTATATGTCCAGCTTCCTCTTCAATCTCAATAATGGTAATTGATTGTAGTGAGGAAGAGCCAGCTGTTGGCTCTGTGACATCATCTCCAGTATGGGGTGATGAAGCAACTTGGAGGCAGCAGGCTCTAGTATTCTGTCTTCTGTGGCTTTCAGGGGTGGTTCTATACAAGCAAGTGAGCTTTTGCAGAGGTCTATGAATGCTTTTTTTTTTTCCTGACAGATTTCGTTGTTGATGCCACACGTAAAGGCAACAAAATCCGCTTTGCAAACCACTCCGTCAATCCTAACTGTTATGCCAAAGGTGAGACTTCTTAGAGCTCTGCTCTCTTTCTGACACAATAGATTCCAACTAGGAATCTTTCTTAGGGAGACTTCCTTGCTATGTTTTTACCCCAGAATGGGAAAGCAAACTTAAGGTAACCTTGACGGGATATGTCTTGGATCAAGTATATTCAGCTTCTTATAAAAAAAGGGAGGGGTATGTTGCCAGCCATTGTAATTACTGATTTTCTTTAAAATTAGAATATAAATATCTTCACTAGAAAATCTCATTATAGAGAATTCTGTTCATAGAATTCATCCCTATCCATCCCTTAATCATAAAAAAGGCAAGGGCAAGGAAATAGGATTCTAGATAAGAGATTAGATGTGATAAATGCTTACATAAATGAATTCTTTCTTATTTTTTTTAATTCAGCTCCACAATTGCTAGTAGGCACTGCTGACAATCACATTCACATTCTAGAGAATTACTTTGTAGCTTGGAGCTCGCAGTTTAAGAAGAATGGTAACAGCAATAACCATGCTTGGTGGTAACAATCAACCATAATTTACACATTTCTAACTTATTCCTGGGTGCACAAAGGATCACGTAATTGTGCCTATGCTAATTGATTATGTTTGCATTCTCAGGTGTGAATATAATGCACCCTCTAGTTTAGCAAATGACACAAATTTGAAGTTTTGTTTCCTGAAGGCTGGGAATCAGTGTGACAATGGGAGCCTTGGTGGGGTGGTTCTTTTAAAAATCTGGGCAATTGATTCTGTCTCTTTCTTGTCTCAATTCAGTGGTGATGGTGAATGGAGATCACCGCATTGGGATCTTTGCCAAGAGAGCAATCCAGGCAGGTGAAGAGCTCTTTTTTGATTACAGGTGAGTGCAGTCTAAATCCAGTTTTCAAAGTTTACAATATATTGCTTGGTATGGTATCTCATCAGGGGTGGGATTCTACCAGTTCACACCTATTTGCTAGAATTGGTTGTTAACATTCTAAGCAGTTCGGAGACCCGTTGTTAGAAGAAATTACTGGCCTAATCCTGTAAGGAAGGCAGGAAGGACACATTCTGGTGTTGCTTACAGAAACTGCCTCTCTAGACTTCCTATCTCAGAAAAGTCTCTGGAGTTTTTTTCCCCCTCCTTTGCTGGTACTTTGCTTGTGTGGAGTGACCATTTAAAGTTACAATGGCACTGCAAAAAGTAACTTATGACCATTTTTCACACTTACGACTGTTGCAACATCCCCACAGTCATGAGAGGCCAGGCAAGGAGATGTATGCCTCGATGTGAGTGATATTGAGTTGGCCACACCCAGACAATAACATGACCACCAAGCCATGTCCATCACCTAAGCCATGCCCATAGAACCAGTATATTCACCAAATATATATATATATATCTTCACAAAGACCAACACCTTCATTTCTCTCCCAGGTATAGCCAAGCAGATGCCCTGAAGTATGTCGGCATTGAAAGAGAAACTGATGACATCTGACTGAAATTACTGGCCCTTGATGCTTCCAGCCAGTATCGCTGCATCATATTCATGCTGCTTTCTTTGTTGATGTGTGTGTGTGTGTGTGTTAGGAGGGTTTCATTCCACCTGGATTCCTCTTTGGAGAAAAGGAAGGTCCAGCTTTTTCTAGATGAGGAGGCCCTAAAAAGGCAAAGTGGTCTAAGACCATTTTGTATACTGAAGCTTGCTAATCAGTTTGATTCATAGTTTAAAAAAAAAGTATATGAACTCTGAAGAAAGTATTTCTTTGCTCTGGCTGGCTGCAGGCAAATTTAGAGCAGAGATTATCTCAACACAAATATCGCTTGCAGAGAAAATCATAAAAGTATTACACAGAGGCCAGGGGAGAGGGATCAATTAATTCCTGACATTTGCTCCCAAGCCTCTATAGTTCATTTCTTTCAGTTAGTAACTTTTTACAACACTTTCTAATCCTTTTCTCTGTCCCTCTTGGGCTTCATACTAGCACTTTCAGCAATGAATTAATTTTTTTTTTCTTAGTTAGTTGAAGGACTTGAACATATTTGGTTCTGTTCTTCTCTTAAAACAGTAAAAGGTGTTTTGTTTTATTTTGCTTTTGTTTTTAAGCCACAAGAGGTATTCTTGGTGTACATATGAAAACAGAACAATTGGGTACATGTGGCCCAGGAGAATATAATAGTCTTTTTAAGAGCGATTAATTTGTCACCTACTTTCAGAATCTGACCTCCCCCCCACATCCCCATTTATGTCCAAAACAATCAATTAGCATGCACTTTAGAATGATTTGCTCCATGAAGACAGGGAGTTGCCTCCCTGTGGGTTTGTAGGGAGTGAAAATTGATTCCACCTCCATGGTGTGGATTACTGTAGAAGCCAGACATTGACTTTCTCATATATTGATACGTGAGAGCTACAGATCAATCATAAAACTGGCTAATTATACTGATAAAGTGTGTTTGTTGCTGCCAGCAGTAGTTTGGATTTACTACATGGATAAGTCCCCTTGTGTGACATTGTAACACCAGTGTCAGCCTTGGAGAAGAGAAGGAAGACAGAAATGTAGTTTATTGAACTTGGCAGAGGGCGGGGTGTAGAATGAGGTATACACAATCATGTATTAGCTACGCAAATAGCATTCTTTGGCCTAAGGGTATTTGTTTGCTTCTGATTATGCTAGCCATGTAATTGTGAAAGTGTTAGCACTTCTGTGCACAACATTCCACCTGTTCATTTCCTGGGCCGAAAGTGAGCCTGGAACAAATGAAACAATAGTATAGTTGAGCATATGTAGAGTGCCTTTACTGCTGACTTAGTACAGTCTGCTGCCTACTATAAGGGAAGCAGCTTCTGGGAATGAGTATACTAATGTGGGAGAACATAGTGTTCATGGTCTCTTAGAAATCAAGGAATTAAGTGGCAGCAGCAAGCTCTCCACTACCCTATTTACTACTGCTTCACCTTTTCTAGCTGCTTAATAATTGTGAGAAAAATATCTGCTTAGTGTAATTTGTATCTGAGTGAAACTTAATTGTTTAGAGCGCTTCTAAATACTGTAGCGAATTTAATTTTGGTGTGAGAAAATACTATATAATTTCTAGGTTTAGTTTGATTTTTTTTTAAAGCCCATCTTTTTGTCACTTGCAGCTTCTAGAGCGAGAAGCTTCTGGAGACGCAATTTAAAGTTGGAATGCTGTATTATTTTCTGGGAGAGCTGTCAGCCTACTTCCTCAAAAAGCATCCTTAGGCACCTAGTTGGGTTAGAAATGTTAGTCTTCTCAAGGGAACCTAGTACTGTAAGAGACTTTAATTTCTGGAAGAAAGTAGTTTGAGGGACAGTATGAAAAATGGTAGTGGACTTTTTTGTTCAATTAAGAGTCATGTTCTTAGTTTATGTTTTTGAATTGGGAAGAAGAGGGAAAAGCCAAGGTGCCTAGTTTTTAGCTACTGCAGTCATAGCACAGGGATGCAGCTTGATTGTCTCTGGCAAAGTTGTAACCAGGCTTATTGCTTAGCTGTTGTCTAGCATCCATACAGTGTAAATACCAGAAGAGGGAAAGGGAGTCTCATACCTGCAGGCCAATAGATAATCCCAATAGTGCAAGAAGGGCTGTCACCACCTAATTTGGCCAGTGGGTTTCATGGTTCATGAAGCAACTTTCTGAAAGGTATCCACTGCAGAAATGGCCAGTCTTAAAAAGTGGTGAAGGTTTAATGTTTTTTGTCAGGGGCTAGGCCTGCAATATTGTACTTAGTGTTGTTCTGTATGATTGCCTATGTTTGCCTCTTGACTGACAAAAGCATTGGTTGGTCCTTTCAGCTGATGGATGTTTAGACTTCACCTCTGCATTGCATAACATAACAGTTTACAACACAAACATATATTGCTTAGCACTTCGGATATACTGCAGCTGTTGAAGATTCCAGGGACTTATATAGCAGCAAAAACATTTATGCTTCCCCCTCCCCACACCTTGTACTGCTTTTCTTCTAGGCAGGGTGGTTCAGGAGCCAGCGGCTGCATGGCACCTCCATCTTCTGATTGCTTATGACTCTTAGCTTTGCTGCTGGTAACTTATGTGCACTTTATATTATCGCTTGTAAAAGTTTGTCTTAAATAAAGGTGTAGTGATAGCTAAATAAAGTCTGTCTCGTGTCAAATTTATTGGTACTATTGGGAGAATAAGCTAGATTGGCAAACCAATTTCCATACATTCAAGTAGAAAGGGGAGTATACATAGCAGATCATGTACACAGTACTATTGCAACAGCAAGGCTACAGGTTGTTTGAGAACATCCTTTGTAACTTTAATCCTTATAGGTTATAGTTGATTTTGAGGATGTTCAGAATTCTTGAAATCCTCACATTATAATAATCACTTACTTTTTAAGGCTATCATAAATAGTGTGCAAAACTCCAAACAAACACAAGCAACAATAACAGAAACTACTGCAATCTAGTAGGTGTCCACATTTTGCAACCTGAATACTGCAATCCTAGCCCATTTGTATAATTACAGTGGCATCAATTATTTTTGCATTTAAATTTCCTGTATATTGAACCTCTACAAGAAATGCGGCTTTACTTTTAAACAAGGCTGTGACTGCAAAATGAATTGTGGCCCATCCTAATGCACTGTTAATAACTGTTTAAATGGGGGGCGGGGTAGTCCAAGCTGATGGTCCAAGTTCTTATTCCTTTATTAATTTGGAATACTGTTTCACAACTAATTTTCCAGAGGTAAGCCTTGCAGGAGGAACTTTAGCTCAATAAATCTATTCAGTTGATAGCAACAACATAAAAGGTATTCAAATGTTTGCAAAATATTCTCAGGAAACTTGAGTACAATAGTGACATTTTCTTCCATTCCCAGAAATGAATATTCATCTAAAGAACCATCACTAAAAAGTGCCCAATCTTGCAAGGTCAAGGATGAGACTGACACTTTACCATGAAAAGTCATCTCTAGAAATTACCTTGCAGGCTCACTGCCTACCCATCCCCCACCCACTCACCCACCCCCAGGACTCCCAGAAAAACAACTCTTCAAAGTAAGCACAGGTTTCTCCAGACAATTGACTCACTAGACTTGAGTAGAAAAATAATCTTGATATGGGCTATTTTTTTCTCCTTAATTATGGACAACCAGAAAAGTGAAACGGTTACTACAGGCTTGAGAGGTGTTAGTTCATGTCCTCATTCAAGCAAACTTAGTATTTTAGGCCAGTCACTCAGTCTTACTCTAAGTGCTGTGAAGATACTCAAGAAGGATTATGTGCATGTTAGTTTGAACACTTACAGAAAGGATGCAGTATACTAGTAATACTTAGTGTGAAATATGGTTGCTATTATTTTTGTCTGTAAGTATTAAAATACATATGTGCTCGGGAGAAAAACAAATTCTAGCCATAACCATTCAAAATGCATTTTCCATCCCCTAACCCACACCCAAATATATATAACCAGCAATTTATCACCCTGCTTTTTTATTTTTATAAGTTAATCTTTACTTTGTTTTTCCCAAACAATTCTTTAGAAAAAAATAAACTGCCCAGGAAGATGCCCAGGTTTTTGGATAAAATAAATACATTTGGCCATTGTTATAGAATCTTCTTATAATCCACAAGTAAACTTAGAGAAAGAAGGGGGCTGGACATTATTGATATTAATATCCCTCCCCCATCATACAACAGACTACAGAGCACAGACTATCACTTCACTTTTAACGTATCAGGATTTTGTGTTTTATACAAACAATATCATTAAAAAATTAGTCCTAATAGCTCACAACTAAAACATGAACAAAATGTAGAAAGAATTTTAAATTCTCAAAACCCCTGATTTATGAAGCAGCAAGTGGCAGCAAAGTGCAAGTGATTTTTTTCATGCGCTATTGCTATACATACATATGTTATTTATATATCAGCAGGCAAATATATCTATATTGCACATTGTTTTCTTTCAGGGCACAATACAATGTGCCAGGCTCTACATATGCTACATTGCATGGCTTGACTAATGGCTTTTTTTATGCTAAGCAATTAATCAGGAAGACTATGTGCTAGCGCATCGCATATGAGAAGGCCAGCATGAATTTTGCATTGCATTTTCCCCAAAGAAGTGTATATTGACAGTCATGTCTCTCTTCAAATTGCGGAAGAAGCCCTGGAGTTTAGCTATAAGTTGCTCTAAGAAACTAGAGTTAAAACTGCAGGAAACGGTATGCTACTAGTAACCTTTGCCTTCCCATCCCACTCTAAGAAGAAACTGCAGGACCAAAATGGAGAAAGAGGATATGAAAAGTGTGGGCCCAGAGGGAGGGGAAGGGTTACAACTTGAGGAAAAATAGATATCATTTTGGCAGCTACCCAGGCACCAATTAAAACTTTTCAAAAGATACAAAACATCCAGTTGGAATCAATTGAGGCGTTATGAAAGTCCCATAAATAAATCACTAAACAAATAACTAAATACAATTATTCTGAATGAAATGGAGGGAGGCAGAAATATCTTTGATTAGACACTTGCCAGTAAGGACTATGTCCAACTGGGAAATACAGCAACACCACAGGATGTGCAAGTTGAACAAGGCAAAGCACCAGGCAGTTCATCACACCGTGAAGGGTAGAGGCAGAAATCAGACTCCCAGCAAGTGGCACGATTGGCAGTTTGGGTTTGGTCTTGCCAAGAGGCTGCAGCCAGCACCAACGAGTAGAAGATGAATCCCTCAGGCTCCAGTTGGCTATTCTGTTTTGGATTCTTCCAAGATCTGTGGCAAGTTTTGATCTTTCCGAGGGGCAACAGGCTTAGTTGCAGGGAGAGCGGCAGGCTCAGCACTGCCACTGCCTCTGGTACTCCCACCACCACTACTACTTCCACCGCTGTTGTAGTCCTGGATAGCCTTTGGCTCATTGGTATGATAGGAGCCCTTGTAACGGTGGTGGTGAAGGTACATCAAGAGAAGGGCTGCTGCCAACAGCAGAAGCAGGAAAAAGATAACTGGGGGAAGAAAGGCAGAATAGGGAAAGAAAGGGAAAAAAATTAGGACAACTGGGGGAGGGAAAAACCAGAAGGAGTTGAGATGAACCCAACAGGGCTTAATTCTAGCCATCTCTGGGCTCTTCCCATTTCACTCCCTTTCCATCTTCCACATTAATAACTCACCTCCAATAATAACTGCAACCCAGCCATCATCGTGGATGTATAAGAAGTCCACTACAACAAGCATAAAGAAAACATACAATTAAAATTAGATTTGATATACTCCTCCACCTTCAGCTCTTTGATTTCATTGGCTCCATCCCTTCTTGGATGGTCTCTTTTCCCTTCATAAAATCGCCTTAGCCATGAAAGCCAGCTGGATGACCTTGAGCCAATCATTCTCTCTCGGCCAACCCAGCTCACAGATGGTTGCTGTGGGGGGAAATAGGAGGAGAGAGGTATATGGCATATTATTTCCAAATTTTGAGAGCCATCTCCTCTCCTCCTAGCTATCCTACATGCTTTTTCTGCCAAGGCACCTGGAGAGGGGAGGGATATGTCTGGCAGGTTCTTCTAGGAGCAAACTCTTTGCCTTCCACATGCAGAATACCTTCCATCTTCAATCATCCTGCCTGTTATCTCAAGATGATGCACGTGGTTCCTTTTATTTGATTATTGCTACTATAGGACTGCCTCTCTCCTAGTTGAAATATCATTGCATCTGTTTGAACAAAGTTCCACACTCAGATTAAAAAAAAAACAGATGTACCCCATAGTGAAGTTCTTGCCTCAAAAAAAAAAAAGAACACTCTTCCTTTTTGGGATTATAGAGTAGGCACTCCAGGATAATCTCAAAGGCTCTTTTTCAAGAGGTAATTGGAATTTCTGTTTTTTTCTTTGAAGAGGTTTCACTTCTCATCCAAGAAGCTTCTTTGGCTCTTGGATGAGAAGTGAAATCTCTTAAGAGAAAAACCAGAAAGTCCACTTAGCTCTTGAAAAAGCACC